GTACAGTTGAATGTAAATAATCCGAATTTTTTGATAATGCAAGGACGCATAACTAAAGTGTTGAACATGAAACCACAAGAGGTATGTGGTAGGGTTAATGCTTCGCCATTTATTAACCTTATGAATTTCATTTTCATTTAAAGATTCTTTCAATGATTGAAGAAGCTGCAGGTACCAGCTTATATGAAACTAAACGGGAGGCCACAACCAAACTGATTGAAAAGAAGGATGCCAAAGTCCGTGAGACTAATACTTTGTTGCATGAAGAGGTTGAACCGAAACTAGAAAAATTAAGACGTGAGAAATCGGCATATATGGAATATCAGAAAATTTGCCGAGACATTGAATATCTGACAAGAATTCACATATCATATCTTTATCTAAAATATAAAGACAGTTTAAAATCAATAGAGGCCAATATAGAGACATTAACAGGTCGCATTGAGACAGCTAAACAAAATATAATAAACAATAATGAAGAACGTGAGAGAATTAAGGAAAAGACTAAAGAGTTGCAATGTCATATTGATGAAACTAGTGGTGGAGCCTTAAGAGAAGTGGAAACTGAATTGGAACGGGAGTTAATGAATGAAGGAAAAGCAGCAGGCAACTTGAAGGCCAGTCAAAGTACTATCGACCAGGAAGAGAAGAGGTTGAAAAGCATAGTGAAAAGTATGGAAGATGATGAAAAATCTTTGCAGCTGAAACAAAAGGAAATGGATAAAGCGAAAAACTTATTCCAAAATTTAAAAGAGGCCGACTCTGCAGATTCTTTAGCATACGAAGAGGCGCAGAAAAAGTATGAAGCCGTTAGCCAAGGTTTATCAACTAATGAGGATGGTCAAGCTTCATCGCTGCAGGATCAATTAATCAGTAAATATAAAATGAAAAAATTCTCAATAGCTTTTAAAGTCGAATATCATTTCCGTATCATTCAGACGCCAAACAAAGTTTGAGTGAGGCTCAGACCCTTATTAAAACTTCGGATATGGAATTAAAACACAGTCGTCAGTTGTTGCGTCAGAAGGAAAGCGAAACGCAAACTAATGATGCGGCGTATACGAAAGACAAAAATTTACATGACAAATTACAGTCAGAAATACAGAACATTTCACAGAAACTAACAAGTATAGAATATCAAGATGGCTCATTTGAACAGTTGCAGGAACGTAAAAACGTCCTACAGCACGAAGTGCGGCAATTGCAACAACAATTAGATCGTCGTAATGCTTATCGTTATGAACTGCAGTATCGCGATCCAGAGCCAGGTTTCGATCGCTCCAAAGTTCGTGGTATGGTTGGCAAATTATTCGATGTATTTAATGAAGAGTACTGCTTGGCTTTAATGATGACAGCCGGGGGTAGCGTAAGTTAGTTTGAAGTTGCGCAAAACTAACTTCCAAACCGTTGTTTCTTCTTTTCTTACTTAGCTTTACAGTTATGTTACAGATGATGATGTAACAAGTAAGAAAATTTTACAAAAAGGCCAATTGCAACAGCGTGTTACCATCATACCCATTAACAAAATAACCTCCTACGCCATTCAAGAGGAAGTCGTTACTTTTGCTCAAAACTTAGTAGGAAGTCAAAATTGCCAATCAGCTTTATCTCTGATTAATTACGATCCCTATTACGAACCTGTAATGAAATTTGTTTTTGGACATACGCTAATCTGTCGGGATCTTAACGTGGCTAAACAGGTTGAGTGGAGAATGTCGTAACCGATATCTCTGCTTACATTTTGAAATTAATTTGCGATCATTTCAGGTGACCTATCATCCTAATATTCACTGCCGCTCTGTAACTTTAGATGGCGATGTAGTTGATCCTGAAGGAACTTTATCAGGCGGTTCGAAACCTAAAGGTAGTAATATATTGCAAGAGTTGGGTGATATTAAACGCCTGGAAAATGATATCAAAGAACGTAAACGGGAAATACAAAAAATCGATCAACAGTTAAGGTAAGTAATATGTTTATATTCGTTTGCATTTCATATCTTTGGATTTGTTCAATACTTTAGCTCATTGGAGAATAAAGCTCGTTCGTACCAGAAACTCAAAGAGACTATAGAATTGCGACAGCACGAATTGGATGCTTGCAAACAACGTTTGGCCCAAACAACATTCCAACAGCATCAAACAGAAATCCTCTCCCTTAAGGAACATATTAAAAGCCTTGAGGACGACTTGCTTAAAGCTCAGAATATTCAAAAGTTATCTCAAACTAAAATCAAAGATATTGAAAGCAAACTGGCCGACGCTAAAGGATATCGCGAACGTGAATTAAAAAAAGCTGCTGAAGCTATGAAAGCAGCCAAACAGAAAGCCGAAAAATCTCGCAACAATTGGAAGAAGCATGAACAGGACCACGATACCTTATGCATTGAAATTGACTCATTACAGAAAGACATTACTCAAGCGAAGGAGCAACGAATCAATTTGGAGAATAAAATCGAAAAACTTAAAACAGAACAAGAAGAAATGCGCAATAAGAACGCTACTGTTAGAGAAGTAGTAGCAGAGTTGCGTCAGAAAATCAAACAACAAAAGGATAAAATTAATTCGCAAAATAAGGAACTGAAGGCATTATTCAGCAAACTTGAAAAATTGGAAAAGCATAATGAGGAATTTAATTTAGAAATTAAGAAAAAAGAAAACGAGGTCAATAAAGTGCGCACGGAAAGCAAAGATTCATTTAAAAAAATAGAAAATCTTGAATCCAAATATCCCTGGATTAATGAAGATAAAGAATTTTTTGGTATGAAAAATACTCGATATGATTATTCGAAGGAGAATCCCGTAGAAGCCGGTCAGAAATTGAGTTCAATGGGCGAGCAAAAAGAGAAAATGGAACGTAATATTAATCTTAGAGCTATGGTGTTATTGGAGCGCGAAGAGGAAAATTATCAAGAGACCATAAGACGTAAGAAGATTGTTGAACAAGACAAGGAGAAAATTAAAAACATTATATGTAAAATGGATATAAAAAAGAGAGAGAAAGTTGAAAAAGCTTGGATGATTGTAGACGAAAATTTTAGCAGCATTTTTAGCACTTTGCTACAAGGAGCTCAAGCTCGTCTAAATCCGATCAAGGAGAATAATCAATTAGTGGGCCTAGAGATTAAAGTTGGCTTCAATGGCATATGGAAGGAATCGCTTGGTGAGTTGTCGGGCGGTCAACGTTCTTTAGTGGCTCTTTCGTTAGTATTAGCAATGTTGAAGTTTTCTCCTGCTCCCTTGTACATTCTGGACGAAGTTGATGCTGCCTTAGACATGTCACACACACAAAATATTGGAAACATGCTTAAGACTCACTTCACTTCATCCCAATTCATTATCGTTTCATTAAAGGATGGTATGTTTAATAATGCCAATGTATTATTTAGTACTAAATTTGAAGAAGGCGTTTCTGCGGTAACGCGTAAGGTTAATTCGCGATTGCAAGTGGCACGCCGTTGAGAAGCATTTTATGTTCAAAATTCTATTTTAAAAACCATTGATTACAAAAATATACTTTGAAAATATTGTACTAAAAGATGTAATCAAATATATAATATTTACTAATTTATATGTTGGTGGGCTTTTACTTTGTGGAACGTAAAAATCCACGAGTTGTGTTCGATGTATGCATGTTCGATACAAAATGTCTACATTCATATACTCATTTCATTCAATTCATTTATACACTTAGCGGTATTTGGGATCGATGCTTGTTCTGAATCAAGAATTCTTGGACAAATTCACTCCATTGTTATTGAATCATTAAAGATGCATATGGTTTGGCATTATTATGATTAAAGACGCATCGCATTAACCGTTAATGAAAGGAAGTGTTTCGCACATTTTGCCGCGTTCAAGGGACTCATGGCATTACTCTCTTTCAGCTACACCCATCATAAAGCGTCGCCTTATCTCGGAAGGAAGATATCATCTTAACTGTCAGAATTTCAACCCATGTGTCAAAATCCCAAAATTTTAATTTCCTAAAATCCTAAACAAAAGCAACGCAAAACTGACAATAGGGTTTGTTTTTAGACAGACGAATTTTATATTAGTATGTTATTTTTGTCTCTTTCTGTTTTCTGTTATGTTGGTCTCTTTCGTAAAAGGTGGTTATGTTTTATAGAAGTGCCATTTAACAAGTCATTATTCGGTCACTTTTTTTTGCGAAAGTAACGCTTGTTGATGAATTTTGATTATTGTGTAAAGCGCGGTGTGCTCATTTGTCTTCAAGTGTTTTTATTTGTCGTTCGATTTTTGTTTTTTTATAATCTAGGCGCTTTTAAAGCCGCAATTTTTCAAAGCAAAGAAAACGAAACATTTTCATTTTGCAAAAATTGAAAGCTGTGTTTTTAGTTTTCCTTTTGCAATAATTTGTAGTGAGCGCACTTCTTATTCGTGTTGATATTGGGAAAAAGTGAAAGAAATTTATTTACAATCGTTTTCATTGCAAGTTATATTGATCATGTCTGGCGAATTGTCTAGCATAACTGACGAGGCCTGCACATCTAACGCCAATGAAGTACGACATAGGTATTTTTAAAGTAAGACAATTAATTTTTTTTAATTTTTCTTCTACTATTCCGCTCGAATTAGCATAAAAAATTGGAGACAAAATCTGACAAAGCTTCGCGTTTGCGTTCATTGATAATCACCGAGTGTGGATTAAAAATCACAACCACGGAAAATTATTTGAAGCGTTTACAAAACCTACGGAAGGAACTTAATTACATTAACGAAACTGACTGGATGTACGAATCGATAGACAGGAAGAGTCATTAACATTGCTTCATCATGCCGTCAGTATCACTTCATTCCAATGATAGTGATGCGCAAAAAAAAAACTATTGTTTTAAATGCACCGGTAAAATATATGTTATATAGATACAATAGAGAATTAGTTTTATAAAGCTCCTCTCTTTGCAATCTAGGTATCATCACCAGCCTGAACAGCAATCATGCAACCATAAATAAGAGTATACCCTTTGAAATAAATACTTTGTCCATTCCTAGCGAAATGAGAATAGGCTCTCGCGTCGAATATTTAGGTTATAAGGATGAAGCTACCGAGAACATTAACATTGTTAAAATTGATCGCATCGTTAAAGGTTCCTGGGATGAAGGGCCGCTCAGTGAGGAGAAAGTCGGTTTGAATTTTTGAATCAGAAGTGTTGGAGTGAAATGTAATTTTACCAATTTTACCAGATTCAAGAAGAGATAAACGGCCTGAAAAATGAAAAAACTACTTATTTTAACATACACCAGCGTAATATTTTGGGCTTAATAACTGAATGCAAGCCTGATTCGATTCTCATTGATCCCGACTACAAGACATTGAATGTTCGTTTCGATTCCGTAGAGATTCACTTTGTTCCCAAGGAAGGCGATAGAGTTAGTATTTGTTGTAATGTCCAAAGTGATGACGGTTTCGTCGATAAACAAGGCGAAATTTTACACCAAATCAGTGTGGACCCAGCCCTAATTTTAACTCAGCAAAGGTGTACTGTTGATCGGATCTTCTCGGATTTGGGCGTTCTCAACAAAAATGCGTATTTCACATTCGACATACTCACAAGGGGCTCTAAATTAAATAAGGGTGACGTGGTGAAAGCCGATTTAATAGAATGCGACTGGGTCTGCTTTGCAAACCATAATCATTGCAATTTGTTTATTTTAATTTTTGAATTTAATTGCTTTGTATGGTCAATACGAATGGCGTTGCATTAAGTTGTCGTTGTTAGAGCAAGCTAGTCAAGCGTCCTAAAACCATGTTCGCCACCGGACTCCCGATCAGAAACCGTGCTGTTGATCAAATTCAGATACAGACTATGAATTCTTGTCAAAATGGGATTTGAGGAGAAGGAATATAAAACGCGGTGACATTGTATGTCTCAGCTCGCCTAAAGATCCCAAACAAAAAACCATATTATTAAAGTACAATATTTCACATGCACAATAATGAATCAAAACTCTTATATTTTTTCACTAAATATACATATGTTTAGAATAAAATTAACGCTTAATGTAATAATAATAATTTACAAAGACATTTTCTCAAAGTAGAGTTTTTCGATAATGGAAGTAATTAAGAAACACATCGGCAAGCAAGCCGCAATTATGGCTTTTACGACGCCACTATGTCCAATTTTTAATAAGCTTTCTATATTTTCTTTCGATTCCTGAAAAGCGGCTTCAAAGTCCTCTTGTTTTTTTATAGGATGCAAAAGTTTTTGCACCGAAAAACTGTGTGATTTCTCAGCTAAAATGTGCACACGGCTGCGGGATAATGTGATGTAAATCAAGCAACAAAAGGATAAAATTAATTTTTTGGCATGAAAAATACTCGATATGATTAATCGAAAGAGAATTCTACAGAAACCGGTCAGAAATTAAATTCATTGGACGAGCCAAAAGAGAAAGTGGAACGTAATACTAATCTAAGAGCTATGATGTTATTGGAGCGAAAAGAGGAAAATTATCAAAAAACCATAAGACGTAAGAAGATTGTTGAAAAAGACAAGGAGAAAATTAAAAACGTTATATGTAAAATGGGTATAAAAAAGGGGGAGAAAGTTGAAAAAGCTTGGATGATTGTAGACGAAAATTTTAGCAGCATTTTTAGCACTTTGCTACAAGGAGCTCAAGCTTATCTAATTCCGATCAAGGAGAATAATCAATTAGTGAGCCTAGAGATTAAAGTTGGCTTCAATGGCATATGGAAGGAATCGATTGGTGAGTTGGCGGGCGGCTATGCTGCCTTAGACATGTCACACACAGAAAATATTGGTAACTTGCTTAAGACTCACTTCACTTCATCCCAATTCATTATCGTTTCATTAAAGGATGGTATGTTTAATAATGCCAATGTATTGTTTAGTACTAAATTTGAAGAAGGCGTTTCTGGGGTAACGCGTAAGGTTAATTCGCGATTGCAAGTGGCACGCCGTTGATAAGCATTTTATGTGCAAAATTCTATTTTAAAAACCTTTGTTTACAAAAATATATTTTTGTAAATATTGTACTAAAAAATGTAATCAAATATATAATATTTATTGATTTATAAATTGAAATGTTAGTGGGCTTTAATTTGGGGGAGCGTGCAAATCCGTGAGTTGCGTCCGATTCCCAAAATCCCAAAATTTTAATTTCCTAAAATCCTTAACAAAAATAACGCAAAACTGACAATAGGGTTTACTTTTAGGCAGACGAGTTTTATGTTAGTATGTCGGTCTTTTTCGCACAAATTGAAACGAATGGCTTTGCATTAAGTTGTCGTTGTGTTGTCATGCTCCATTCGCTCGGCAGCTCTGCATGAAATAAGACGCTTTCTTGCAGAAAATTCTTGAAAAATAAATTTTTTTTTTCAACAAAAAAAAAGAAAAAAATTCTCCTTTTTTTTTTGTTTCTGAAAACTCTTGAAGTAGTGAAAATATATATAGTGAAGTTGCGGCATTTAAACAAAATCAACAAAGGCTTCGACGTCCTTGTGCTTCCACGCAAATTGCGCAGCACCACCTGCTGTCTTCAACCTCATCCTGACAAGACTCACTTCGTCAACTCACCTGTACATTGGACATCAAGTAGCGGCGATTCCTGTCAAATTCTTAAAACTGCTTTAACTTACAAGGCTTTGTTCTTCTTTGTCTCTGTCGGTTCCACCAAAAACGGCTGATTTCCATATCCCTTCTTTTCTCGGTAAGTCAGTTGATCCTTTTCTCTTGCCTTTAATCTAGCACGAAACCTAAAAGTCGCCCGCCCCTCAAGGGGGTGAGGCTCTCAAACATGTTATCAAACGATGATGATTTCGAAAATTTTGTTCGAATCACGCATAGCAAGGGTTCACTTAAAAGAAGAATCACAGCCCAGAACGAAGGTCTCAAAAAGATCATCTCTGATAAGAACAATTCATCTGTAAAAGACTTGACTGAGGATGTCAATATCACCTCCTTAAAGTCCCCGATCGCTCCCTCTAGGAATAAGCCTCCCAATAAAGACAGCTCTGTGAACAGTAACAATAATAGTAGTCCCATAAAAGGAAAGAGATCTGACCCAACTAGTCCAAATCGTTATAGTGACGACACGACCGGTGAGTGCTACGTATTCATTGAAGTATGTAACAATAACCTAGAGAAACCTTTTCGCCTTAACTCAGATTTATTTTTTTTCGAACACATCAAAGATCTCAAATTGGATGGTTTGATTAATATCAAAACCATCAGCAATGGCAAAGCCAAACTTGGTTTTGCCACTGCGGTTGATGCCAACAACTTTATAATAAACAATGATTTTGGTCCAAAGTCTTGCAAGGCCTACATCCCTAGAATTTTCACAGAAAAATTTGGGATCGTAAAAAACATTCCACCTTCAATTAAGGAAGAGGACTTTCTCAACTCAGCTACCTCTGATATTGAAATCATTTCTGTTACAAGAATCCTCAGAAGAGACCCTCCAGACAGAGAAATGTTCATCCCAACAAACAGCCTAAAAATTGGTTTCAAGGGTAAACTAATTCCCAAGAGTATAAAATTCAACTATTGCAATATTCCAGTTGACTACTTCATTCCTTCCGTCAGGCTCTGTTGTAATTGCGGCCGATTTGGTCACATCGCCAAATTCTGCAAAAGTAAGGAAAGCAGATGCCTGAACTGTGGCAAGTCACCGGCCTGTCCTACGGACTCATGCCTCTCAAGCAAATGTCTAGGTTGCGGGTCGCTGGACCACAACGTAACATTTCGAGAGTGTCCAAAAAGAAAGAAAGAGGAAAATTTAAAAAAAATTTTAACCATCCAGAATTTATCTTTTAGAGAATACAAAGAGAAATTCTCTAACAACCCATACAATTTACTTGAAAACTATGACGTAAACTTCCCAGCAATGAAGGACAGCAATGCTCCTAACAATATTAGAGACCCTACTATTGATACAAATAATATTTTAATTAACAAAAACTTCAATGCAGTTTTAAAAAATAAAACAAGTATTCCCAAGTCCTTGCACAGAATGTCTCTCAAGACGCCCTCGACTTACAGTAACAAGTCGCAGGAGCCAAAAAAACCTACCCCGCCCCCTGAAAAGCATACTTTCATCAATAACCATAAATCCACTGAAATGGAGATAATTCTGGAAAAGATTTTCAGGATTCTCTCCATCTCTTCTCAAGAAGACATGCTTAAAACCATCCAAACAGAAATAAGTTCCCTTAAATCAAAATTTGATCTTTTAAAACAAGGTACATCTGGGTCGGCCCTATCATGTTCTAACATTTCTCATGACGTCCTTCCTACAGTATAACATACAAAGCTTCAGGCGTAATGCCCATTCTCTTGATTTTTTCATAAATTCCAACCGTACTGATTTCGCCATCTTGAGTGAAATCTTTCTGTCCGATGTAAAAATTTCCGATCTCAAAATCTCAAATTACAACTCCGCTTATAAATGTAGAAGTGACGGCTATGGAGGTGTTGCCATTCTTGCCAGAAAAGGCATATCCTTCAAACAAATCCCATTTAAATCGACTGCTGTCATTATCAAAACCTCTTGTCTAAAACCTAATATCGTCATTGCTGCTTGCTATTTCAAGCCCAACATCCCCATTCAATCTTTCCGGGATGACTTTAATCGTCTCTGTGATATGCTCAATAGTTTCCACAATGTCATAATTGCAGGAGATTTCAATGCAAGACACCCTTGCTTTGGTGACTCCGTGTCAAACAATAAAGGCAAAGCCTTGCAAGAAATCATTAAAGCTAGTAACTTCTATTGTCTGAATGATAATTCACCAACCTATTTTCACTCTACGACCAACAATTGTGGTAGCGTGTTGGATCTTACTTTCACTAACGCAACCCATCTCACATTCAAACGGGAGGTTAAAAAAGAAATTTTCCTGGGAAACAGCCACCACCTTCCTATTCTCTTTAATGCCACCTCTATTACCCCGTACAAGATAAATGACTTTATCTCGAGGAAAAAACTCCTAAATAATCTTATTCACGTATGTCTTGAGCCACAGGTCGAATTATC